TTTTTTTTTTTTTTTTTTTTTGGTACTGGGGATTGAACTCGGGTCCTTGCGTTTGCAAGGCAGGCCACCAAACTGCTGAGCTAAATCCCCGGCCCACCATTTCTTTTTCCTACAGGCACTTTCCTGTGCCTACCGATTCTAATTCTCCTTATGTGAATTTTAAAAGAAAAAGAAAAGGAAGGGAAAGAGGCTGGAATAAAGAGAGGCCCTCCTTCCTTCCCCAGTTAGTACATTTTCTATTTTGCTGTGCTGCCAGAGATGTAAATCAGTCTCTTTGCATTCTTTAGACTTCTCTTTCCATTTCCCTGTTGGTTCTGGTGCTCACCCTATCACTCAGCTGAAATTCTTCTAGGAAAAGTTCGCAGTGACCTCTCCAGCCAACCTAGTGACCCCAGACTGCAACTCATCTCTCTGTGGTATCTGATGCTATTCCTGCCCACTTTTTGCACCCATGGCTAGTGTGCCCATGCACATGTGTGCGCGTGCACGTGCGTATGCATATCACATTTTATCAATACTTTCCTTTGCCTTTATGTCAACCTCTTCCTGGTTTGCTTACTCTGATCAGCTTTCTTGGGCACCCTTGACTGCTCCCCTGTGCCACTGTCCTTGCTATTTCCTGCCTCATTCTTAATTGCAGCCAAAAATCAAATTAGACTTCTGCTCAAGGGGCCTTTGAGGGGTCAGTCAGAAAGGAGGGGCTCAGTCTTTACTTTTGAATGAATGAATGAGTAAATAAATGGATCAGGAACAAGCACTGTTTCTTCTTTGCCAGTCATCTACATTCTCCAACTGATTTGCAGTCTGAAACTCCTGCCTTGGGTCCTGGTTTCTCCTAGTGGCCTTCACATAGGTATCAGGGCACCATCCCACACCAACCCTGAGCCACCCCTCCTCCAACCTGCCTCTCCATCTGTCTTATCTCACCCAGTAATTGATCCTCTGCCTGTCATGAAGTCTGGCATCTCTCTCCCCCACAACCCAACCTGTCAATCTACAAGTTCTATGACTCTGACCTTCAGGACACTTGCCTACCTGTCTAGACCAGGGCCAACAGGTGACCACTTATTTCCTGGACTACTCAGTCCCCAACTCTCTTCATGGCCAGAAATTTTAATATACTCAATCTGTTTTTCAATCATTTTCCTAATTGCTATCAAGGCTACTTTTCTCATACACAATTCTGGATCCTCCTCAAATCTCTTCCGTAACTCCCTACTGCCCACGAATAAGGTTCAAACTCACAGCATTCAAGGCCTTCCTTCCAAGATTTGAACCTAAACTGATCTCCCACTGCTCCCCATTCCCCACACTCCAGCTACAATGGATTTTACCCTCCACTCTCCACCCAACCAGAGACAGGACTATAGTATATTCATCTCTGAAACCCCAATGCCCTGGTACAGCATCTAGTACACAGAGGTAATCAATAGATGTATGTTGAACTGAACAGAGACTCTCTGCCCTTTGATCATTCTAGAAGTTCAGGTGAAAAGCTAGTCGAGGCATACTTTATCCTCTTATTACAATTATCTTCATTAAGTTAGCTGTTGGAGGGCTGGGGATTTAGCTCAGCAGTTCGATGGCCTGCCTTGCAAGCGCAAGGACCCGAGTTCAATCCCTGGTGCCCCCCCACCCCCCACCCCCAAAAGTTAGCTGTTGGAGGCATGTATCTTCCAGGAGTGAATCTTCTTTTCTCCAGAAGCAATCAATACCTGCCCCTTTCCTTTCATCCCTTGGCACAGGACAGGAGCTTCTTCTCCCTTCCCTGACCCTGGGACTCCTGAAAGGATTCCAGCCTCTCCCCAATAACAGGAAAACAGGTGGCACTAGGTAGGTCATCACAAACCTATGGACAACTGCCTTCCTGGGGGACACTGATTTCCAGCAGTGGCCAATAACACTGAATTCAGGCTTCTATAACAGGTTTTCAGGAAAATGACCTAGTCTCCAAATATTTTATGGTAAGTCCATGAGGGTCAACAACTTCAACTACTTCTTGTGCTGTGGTCTATTCATGTGGGTGACAACAGAAAAGGGGCGCATCTCCTTTTTCCAGAGAAGCAAGAGACATCTGAGTCCAGTTTCTCGTTATCTCATACTCTACCAAGAGCTACATAAAGTAATGGCCCAGATTCTGTCCCATATAGCATCAGT